TTTTTTACCTTTGTTGATTCCCAATCTGTAATGGGAATGATTATTTGTGAAAAAGTACACAATTGTGGCACATGGCGAAAGGGGAAGTGGGGTAAGGCTGGCCTTCACTAACTGTCCTAGTCCTACTTAATCAAAGTTGCGACCAATTCATTCATTACAATTTAATCATTCACCACAAGAACTCATCCATCACCTCTCAAACCTGCATATACCACAATACTACATATTCACAGGAGACCTATAAAATACCCCATGACATAAAAATTTGATAAAAAATTCAGTATATATATATATATATATATATATATATATATATATTATTTTCTTTCTTCTTACAAAATATAAAAAATTTAAAGAATCATGAAATGATGGGGGAGTGGATGAATCCAAAAACAAACTAAAAATGCCACAAAACCAAACAAAACATGTTACTCAAACCCATCCATCCCTAAAAAAAAAAAAAAAAAATAAGAGTGGCCAATGTATTCTGCCATTCAACAGAATCAAGAAGCACAATCATTTATGGAGTGGGAAAAATTGAAAGCTGACCCACCCAAGCTGAAAAATGGACAAAAAACTAACTGGGGAGGTAGGGAATCTCAACATGGATCATAACAAAGAAGAATGCTGGGAACAGGATGGGAGCAACACATACATTGACTAGGAAAACAAATAATGTCTAATTTTACCAGAGGGTGGGTTCACAAGAAACCCCTCTGTTGAGAGCAAGGAGACAAAAGAGAAAATCAAGGTGAACCATGCTTGCCACAGTCACCCATCTTTCATTGTAATCTGTAAATATCAAATGCTTTCTATCGTGTTCATATCACAAGTTTCCTTATATTCGGGATGTCCTCATTGTGAGATAGCACATTCCAAGTCAGTCACCAGGTAAGTGAAAACTCGGTTGCTTAATAAATATGCCACGAGCGCCCAAGACCAGAAAGCATGTAACTCTGATGCTGACAAGCAGAGTGACCCCCTCCATTAATTCATGATACAATAGGCTACGAGGCTGTGAAAGGTCACTAGACCGAGGAATGACCTTCAAGGCTGCCCAACACTCTTGGAGGAATTTCAATTGATTCTGGGGCTTATGATGGTGCTTGGCCTCCAAAATGGTGGGAGAGATGGTAATGCAAGTAAAGCATCCCTAATACTCCCCTCCAAAATAGTTTTATGTCAGTGCATGTTGTAGGGACACCAACCTTGAAGAAGTCTAAATAGCACAACAAGTGTGACATTTTCAGCCCCCATGAAACTGACATTGGGCAATACTCTCTTTGCAGACCTGATGCTTGTGACAACCCCACAAGAGAATGGACAACAAGTGATCAAGCACTTTCTTTCTGTACTTGCAGAGAGGAAGTACAGCCAATCAATAAAGGATAGTAGGAAAGACATACATGGTACACACCTCAGCTTTATGCTTTACAGACAATTACTATTGAAGCAAAGTCTGGACTGCTGCTTCAACCTTTGACTGTACTTCGGATCAATTCTTCTTCAGTTGGGGACCAGGCCCAAACCACACACTCCAGAATCTGACAGACCTGGTCTGTCCAAAAGTGGGGAAGATGGCCCGTTTACAGGCACCTAACCGCAAGCTGCATGACTTGTTGCAGTTAATATTTGCCCGTCACCTTCTTGTACCACTCAAGTGCCTTCTGTACTGCCTCAATGTCACTACAACATGAGACGAAAATAGACACATTATCAGCTTATGCAGAAATCCTGGCTTGATCTTGTCCAGGGACAGTGATTCTGTGTAAGGCTAGATGGCATGCTCTGTCCTGTAGCTGTTGAAGGAGGGGCTCCAACACCAATGCATAAAACAAGGGCGACAGAAGATAACTCTGATGAACTGACCATGGCAGCACAAAAGTGCTCAGCCACTTTCCATTCACCTGTACCAGAGCACTGGGGGAGTGATACAGGAGGCTAATCCATTTGCAGAAGTTTGGTTCAAATCTGGTGGCCTGCAGGACTGCAACCAAGTACTGATGGGTGACCCTGTCGAATGCCTTGGACTGATCTCAGGGTGATCGCCAGCAACCTACCATCTTCCTACACCCTCTATGATTGTGTGGACCAGATGCAGGTTGCTATCGATTGTTCATCTACTCACAGCACAAATCTGCTCCGGTCCCAATAAGCTCATAACAACTGACTGCAAATGCTCTATCAGGATCTTGGCTCAAATCTTTAACACTGTGTTTAACCGAGTTCAGGGCCTATAATCATCTAAATTCCACCCAACACCCTTTCCCTTTTTCAACAGCATAATCATACATCTGGAGATCTGGCTGCAGATGGGCTCCTGGCAGAATCAGTTGTTGAACACAATAGTCAAAATCAGAACAAAGATGTATGGCAGCCTCAAGTACAATTTGTAAGGCAGACCATCAAGTCCAGGAAACTTGCCATTGCCGACCCTCTGCAATGCCGGGGGAAGTTTACCCTCTGCAATCTCATCCTCACAGCTAGATGCTGCTGCTTCAGTTGGCTGAGGAAAGTCAGTCAAATAACTTCGAAATCCATTACCACAGAGACCAGACTCCTTGATAAACCTGCCCTCAAAATGACACTGAAATGCCTCACACATGCCCTTGGACGACCTCAGAGCATCCCTTTCTGGGGTATTGACCTTATCAATATATCACTCAGAACCTTGACTGATCTCTTCCTTATGCAATTCTGTACCAATATTCACAGCTTCATTAGACATTTTGTTTAACCTATGTCTAATTACCTGACCCTGGTCCATCCTGGGTAAGCTGATAAAATGCATCCGCGTCCTGGGTAAGACATTAAACTACATCCGACAGCAAAGCCTCTGATCAGGAGGTTTGAGGAGTGTGGAACTGCAAATAGTTGACTCCCAAGCTGGGGTCAAAATACTGTGGAGGTGTAAAAATGGGTTTTATTACCAACAATGCATTTTTGAAGAAAAAATTATTACCTACAATACAATCTTGATGTAAAAATTATTACCAGAAATACATTTTTGAGGGGGGAAAAAAAAAAGATTTTTCCCAGCAATGCATTTTTGAAGGACAAATTACTACAAAAAAGATATTACCAGCAATAAATTTTTGGAAAAAATATTACCAGCATTAAAAATCATGTTGGTATTAAATAACCCATTGATTAAAACAAGACAAACTGAACTAAAAAAAATAACATCTTTTTGGCATTAAATAACCCTTTGAAGTTGATATGCCATAAAACAAACCAAACCTGACCCTGGTAGCTCTTGCTAGTGTCATGCTCCAGAGTCTGCATAGATAACGCCACTAAGGGAATCCCTACCTCCGCCTCCACTCTGGCAGACTATTCTCAAGTGTCTTCACCATCTTAGCCTTATCTAGAGCGAGTTGTTGGCTATAGTCATTGGTGAAAGACCTAATACTATCCTTAAGCCTCTCCTACCACTTATTTTCAATGACTGTCCCCAGTAGTTCCTGCTGCACTAATCTAGACAGCTATTGCTGGAAGTCCTGCCTGTCCAGTAAAGACAGATTGAGCTTCAGTGTCCAGCCATTCTAGGCCTAGCACCTAACACCATCTGGGCACAGGTGAGTCTATGGTTTGAATAGTCTAAATGGTGGAACAATCTAGAAAATCTAGATTGACCCTTCTAATTATTATTCTGTCCAGGTAGCTGGCTACCCAGTGAGGCGACTACTTAAAAGTTCACATCCACATCTCCCACCCTGGATGATTGACCTGTTATCTATCAACGATCCCAAACTTGCTGATCATATCAACCAAGCTACAATTGCTTGATGACCTCTTGCTAATTCCCTGTCCCCTGTTTATCTTGGGTCCCAGTCTGGTGTGCTTAGTCTTAATGGTTCACCCATTAAGACTAAGCACACCAGGAACAACCCTAACTGAAGGAAAAAGTCAACATCCTCCATCTGCTTGTTGGGTGCATAAACTTCAATGACCTGAAATGAACCACTGCAATATCGGCTATGATCAGCAACCCCTCCCACCTACATTGACATCGACAAGGTCCACCCTCGCAACCAGGGAATGTTTTACTAACAAGGAAACACCCCTGGCCAGCTGGTCCCCATATGCTGGATAGATGGCAAATGAGCATCAACATTGCAAACAAAATGTCTCTCCTGGATTGCAGCCACATCTATGCTGAAGGACAGGAGATGACTAAGCAGGTGGGCAGCCTCACCCTGATCTCTCAAGCTATCTAGCGTGATAGATATCTTTTAAAGTTAAGATCCCTTAAATACAGACTGGGCAGAAATCTGCGGGGCCAAAACCCTGACAGATTGTCCCAGACTGCCAGTTCCGATATCTGTCATAATTCAAACATCCAGGACACTACTGCTGCTGTCTGTGGGATAGCTAAGTTTTAAGACCCTATATAAGGAGGGATGGAGCCTAACGGGGACCCTCCCTGCACACATTTTGGGCCATTTTTTTCAAGTTTGGAGACCCTATTTGGTCCGTTTTAATTTGCAGAAATGAGTTCCTGTCACCAGTCAAATGGTCCCATACCCTCAAATTCCCTTCCGTATTTCTAATGAGGGTTATCATCTCTGCTGCACATGGGAAATTACTCAGATTCTCCATCTACTTCCCAATGACGAAGATCAGTTGAAAAAAAATGTCTCAAGTGGGCCTGCCTTTGAGCTGAAAGGTCCCTATCTAAATGTTGCCTGTCCACCCAACACATCGTCTTTCATTTGGGCATACTCTTCTTTTCCGGTGAGGTGTTGGGGATGAAGAAGATTGACTCCTGGAAGGGGAAGAGTGGAGGCTCCTAGCCTTAGCTAAGAGTTCAGATGTTGCTCTTACTGGTGAAGTGGGGATGGATTGTGTCTTGGCAACTACCAGCTTTTATTTTTTTTGATATATTTGCCGTCCTCATCTTCTTCATCACTCCCCTTTTTTAAAGAGGTTGATCGAGGTGGTAGCATCTCCTCCACCTCCATGTTGACATACACCTGTGGCACCTCCACTAACTCCAGTGGCTGCTCAGTCTGTTGCTGTACTTGCTGCTCCTCCACTTGTTACTTGTGTTGCTGCTCTATCTCCTGTTTGGACTGCTGCTTTCTCTGTGGCTAAGGTGAAACTGCTTTTTTGGTTGGGACATCCTGCTGCGTAGAAGTGGTAGCTGGCTTTTTCCCTTCTTCACCATCTCCATCTAGTTACTGGGGGTCTGGCCAAGTTTCTTTGACACAAATGTCTACTCCATTGCTGCTGGTTTTGGTGCTGCTGGAGTGGCTGGTGCTGGGTTCCTGTCAGGACCACAGTTCCAACAATAAGGATAGTGGCCCTCTACTACATGCTTCCACTGTTCTTGCAACACTAATCTCTGTCACTGAACTTTCAGCACGAATCTCTGTCCTGGGTATAATAATAGACTACATCTGGCAGCAAGGCCTCTGATGAGGTGGTTTTGAGGAGCATAGAAGCACCTTTTAATTGTTGTTTCCAGGTCTACCTTGACCTTGCTGTTGCAACACCTGTTAGGATCCTGGACTAGGGATTAAACACTATGAATGTGTAAAAATATTTTCTATTATACCTTTTTGTATGTGAAAAAATGGTTTGAAATATTAAAACAAAAATCATATAAAAAATGAAAAAATTTTGAAATATTTCAAGTTGAAAAATAAGTAGTTAAAGAAAACAAAAAAAAACATTTTTGAAATATTAAACAAAGATATATTACTGTTATGTATGCAAATTATGTGTAAATGTTTGTATATATTTTTGTTTGAATTTATTGGCCACTTAGAAAGGGGAGGATTAAGGGAAGGTAAATATGAGTGCATTCATTCATTCTTATTGAGCCTGGGGGATGTTGATTTCCAATCTGTAATGGGAATGAGTGCAAAAATTTTCCTACTTCCCTTTTATAGGCAAAAGTCCAAAAAAAGCATGATGGGAGAATCGCTGAACTCGGTGGGAGGGTAATTTAGCCACTACTCCTTAGTATTGTTAAGAGATCTGTCTCTTTTATTTTTTTTTTTTTTTTTTCCCGCTTTGTTGAAAATTCTTTATATGCTTTTGCCATAACTTCATATTGGAAAATTCTTTCATTATTTGTAGCTACATTTGTCTTCCTTCGGGCAATGTTGTGTTTGGTTCTGTAATCTGGAGATACAATTTTGACCTTTTTAATGCCAGATGTTGAATAAAGTATGTCATCTTCAGTAGCGACTCTCTTCATAGAGTATTCCCTTGAATGTGCTGCCATTTTTTTCCTAAAACTCATTTCTAATGGGTCCAGGCAGAGGGTGCTCTCTAGAAATCCATGTTACATAATAATTCTATTTGATTTAAAGGATTTATTTTAATTCTTATTTTAAAAAAAAAAGTAAATGAAAAAAAAAACAAACAAAAAAACATCTATTTATATATAATTAATAAGAAGTATAATTTTCAATTCTTCAGTATTCATTTTTGTCAAAAGTGATTTACTTTCTGATAAACAAATACAGTCTCTGGAGCAGCATCAATAGGAGGTAGTTTGTTCTGTCAAGGAGAATTTTCAGAAGCAGGCACCATTTCTGGTTTTTGGGCAAACTCTTTTTCTTTTTCTGTGAGGTGTTGTGGACTGACCCCTGGATGGGGAAGTGGGGAGGATCCTTGGCTTAGCTAACATTGTTCTTACTGGTACAGTGAGGATGGATTGTGTCTTGGCAATTTACCAGCTTTCTTTTATTTTTTTGGTATATTTGCTGTCCTCATCTTCATCATCACTTCTCCTTTTTAAAGAGTACAATCGAGGTGGTGGCATCTCCTCCACCTCCATGTTGACACACCTGTGGCACCTCCACGAACTCCAGTGGCTGCTCAATCTGTTGCTGCAATCACCACTGGTTGCTTGTGTTGCTGCTCCATCTACTGTATTGACTGCTGTTTTGTCTGCTGCTTTCTCTGTGGCTAAGGTGAAACCACTTTTTTGTTTGGGACATCCTGCTTTTTTTTTCTTGAAGAAAGAACATTATTAAATTTCTATAGCTTAGTAGTTATATTTTATAATGTTTGAGAAGTCTAAAGAGAAAGTGGGGAAGGGTGGTCTTCATTATCCTAGTCAATCACAATCACGACCCATTCATTCAATACAATTATCCATTCACCACAAGAACTTATCCATCACTTATCGTCCTGGGTAAGACGCTAAACTACATCCAGCAGCAAGGCCTCTGATCAGGAGGTTTTGAGGAGCGTGGAACCACCTCTTAATTGCTGGTGTTCCCAGGTCCACCCTGACCCGGGGTGGTAGCACCTGCTAGGGTCCCAGCTATGGGCAAATAGTTAACTATTACCAGCAATACTCTTTTGAAAAAAATCATTACCAACAGTACAATTTTGAAGGAAAAATATTACCAGAAACAGATTTTCGACAAAACAAAATATTACCAGCAACAAAAAATGTTGTTGGCATTAAATAACCCATTGAGGTTGATATGCCGTAAAACAAAATAAACCAAACTAAATCAAACCATCACCTCTCAATCCTGCAGATACCACAATACCATATATTCACAGAGAACCTACAAAACACCCCATGACATAAAAAATTATAAATGTTTCTATATATTTACTATTTTATATATATATATATATATATATATATATATATATATATATATATATATATATATATATATATATATATATATATATATTTTTTTTATATTTTTAAATAAAAATATATAAAATATATAAAAATTTCATGAATCATGAAATGATAGGGGAGCAGTTGAACCCAGAAACAAACTAAAAATACAACAAAACATTCAAGGTCTGTCACAACCCTCTTCACAAGTTCTTGACACAATAATCTACAAAGCCATGAGAAGTCACTGGACCATGGAATGACCTTCAAGAGCACCTGACACTCTCAGAGAAATCTCGATTTATTCCTGGGCTTAAGATGGCGCTCAGCTTCTGAAATGGGTGGAGTGATGGTAAGGCTAGGGAAGGTCTCCCTAGCAGTCTCCTCCAAAATTGAGTTCTGTATCAGCACATGGCATGGGAAAGCCAATCTTGAAACATCAGGTGCACCAATACCCCCCTCCAAATGACACAAATGTTGAGCAACAGTCTCTCTGCAGATCAGAAGCTTGTGCTCACAAGTGGGTAGACAACAAGCAATTGAGCATCGTCTTTCTGTTCTTGCAGAAAGGAAGTACGGCCAATCGATAAAGGATAAGAGGAAAGACGTAACTGGCATGCACCTCAGCTCTATCCTTTATGGACAATTTCCAATGAAGCGAAGTCTGGACTGCTGCTTCGATCTTTGACTGTACTTCAGATAATTTTTTCCTCAGCTGGAGATAAAACTCCAAGAAAGCGAACTTTTCTGTCTGTCCAACTAAAGGGCCCTGGAAGCGTGACCCCCTTTCAGGCCTCTAACTGCAAACTGGAAGACTTGTCGCAATTAATTTTGGTCCTCGTCACCTTGTACCACTCAAGTGCCTTCTGTATTTCCTCAATGTCACTACACAGCATGAGAAGAAAATAGACACGTTATCAGTCAATGCAGAAACCCTGGCTCGATCATCTCCAGCCTCAAGTACAATTCGTAGAGCAGACTATCAAGTCCAGGAAACTTGCCACTGCCAACCCTCTGCAATACCAAATGAACTTCGCCCTCTGTGATCTCAACCTCTGTCAGCTCAGCCGTAAAAAATTATTACCAGAAATAAATTTTTGAAGAAGAAAAACTATTACCCGCAATACGTTTTTAAAAAAAAAAATATTACCAGCAATACATTTTTTGAAATTGTTACCAGCTATACATTTTTGAGGAAAAAAATATTACAAGAACTACATTTTTGACAAAACAAAAATATTACCAGGAAAAAGTTGTCGGCATTAAATGACCCATTGAGGTTGATATGCTGTAAACCAAACCAAATCAAACAATCTTTTTATGAAAATAAAACCATCCAAGATTGTAAATTTCCTAAAAGAAGTTGGATTGTACTAAAAAATATGAGTAATTGAAAAATGGTTGAAATATATATGTATACATACACTTTTTTTTTTTTTTTTTTTTTTTTTTTTTTTAACCAAACTATCGCTATGAATCTATTTCAAAAAATTTGTTGGCATGAAATGACCCACTGAGGTTGCCATAAACCAACCAACCAACCAATTGTCAGCTCAAGCTGAGGAAAGTCAGCCAAATAGCTGCAAAACTTGTTGTCACAGAGACCAGACTCTTTGATAAAGGAGCTATCAATTGCTAGCCTTGTACTCCAGAGTCTCCTGAGTTAACACTATCTCTAGGGAATCCCTCCAGCCACCACCCGGGATAGACTAACCTCTAGAGTCTTCATCTTTTTAGCCTTATCTAGAGCAAGTCATTGGCTATATTCAGTGGTGAAAGACCTAATACTATCTTCAAGCCTCTCCTACCACTTATTCCCAATAACCACCCCCAATAATTCCCACTGCACTAATCTAGATACCTTTTTCCAGAAGTTCCCCCTGTCCAGTAAAGACAGATTGAACTTCCAGTGTCCAGCCATTCTAGACCTAGTTCCTAACACCATCCAGGCACAGACAAGTCTATGGTTTGAATAGTCAAAATGCTGGAACATGGGACAGTTTAGCAAATCTAAATCAACCCTTCTTATTAACATTCTGTCCAGGTAGCTGGCTACCTGGTGAGACAGCCATTTAAGTGCCCATGTCTGCATCTCCCACCTCGGATGATCAATGAACCCCAAACTCACCAATTGGATCATCCAAAACTTTCACTGCATTGTTGAGGCTTTTCAGGGCCTCCTCCATTCCCTCCCTGCTGACACCAATAAACTTCTTAGACTACATGTCAGTCATCAGCAGGGAGAGTCCTAGTGTTGAGAACCTCCATCACTGATGGCACAGCCAACAGTTCATTACCAGCCAGCGATGAACTCTTATTGCTTATTCAGGCCCTCATAATAATCAGACCTTTTCTTTTTGGCCCTATCTACCGCCCATGCCAATGGGCTTGCTGCTGATGGTGTTGGGCCCTGAAGCTGAGAAGATTCCGCTATAGTGGAGGAGTTCCTTTCCCAGTACAGGTCACAACAATTTGGACAAAACAATCACAAATAAAAGGCAACAAAGCAACACTCAAGGACGAAAGTATACAAAAGTTGGTTACTAATTACAAACAAGTCCAAAAAAGAAAAAAAAATTTTTAATGGGAATGACTGCAAAACTTTCCCCCTCCTTTTACAGGTAAAATCCACAAAATGCATACTGGGATATTTTTCTTAGTCAATAGTATAGGTTGGTTTGCAATTTGACTTAGTCCATCTAAGATCTGCCTTGTCTATAACAAAGACCACTGCATTCACTTGTCTGTAAATTTGCTTTTCATATAGTTTGCTTGCTTGATACTATTTCTTTTTTGCCCTTTTTCTTTTTATTGCAAACTTTATTAATTCTGTCAGTTGGAAAGTTGTCATTTATTTTGCATTTTGACCATGGCTTTTAACTCAACAACTTTAGAAGCAGTTATACAATACCAGAAATTAATTGGCATCATGTAGTGAAAAATAAACAATACAGGCCACTATTCATTATTCCTCATTTAATTTGAATCCAAACCATTTATTGAATTTATTTTTCTGGCCAGTTGCTTTCATATCTATTGAAATGTTTCCACTTAATACAGTGACATTTCTTGCCAATTCTCTGACTGCTTTTTGGCTCAAATTCCTAATCTTTGTCACTGGATGATAATTTTGGCCAATCATAACTGTTTTGCTATCAGTGCTTGTACAAATATCTATGTATTATCATTAAAGCCTCTACCTACCTACAGGGGCATTAAAAAAAAACTTAGAATATCTGGGAAGAATTCAATATTTTTGTCATTTATGTTCCAGACTTATTACATGTAAGCTAAAATGTTTTGGATGTTTTGTTTTTTGATTTTGATAATTATAGCTTAGTTAAAAAAAGAAAAATATCAAAATATAATTAAAATTCATGTTTGTGTAAATCATTATTCATGCAGTATAAATACCATGAATCTAACGCCTGGTTCAATATGTACAAGCCACAATCATGGGCAAGGCGGTTGACAGTTGTCCAGAAGGCAATTATTGACCCTCTCTTTGTGGAGGGTAAGTCACAGGTCATTGATGAAAGGGTTGGTTGATCCTAGCTTACTCTATCAAAGCATATCCATGGAATGCTAACTGGAAGAAAAAACTTATAGGAAACAATGCATACAGAAAAGTGATGACTGAAGCCTTCAAGATTGTCACACAAAGCCAAATAAAGAATATGGGTTTGTTTCAGCAGGTGTTCACTGAGGCTGGAGTCAATGCCATCCTACCAAGGAAATAGCCTAAAAATATCACATTCCTAGTGTCAAGCCATTCTTTGAATTGTAGACAATGTTAGAATTCTCTGTGAAAAGAGTGGGTGAGGAAAAGGACTGGACTATTGCTTAGTAATCCATGTTGGACAAAAATATTAGTGGGTGTAAAGCAAAAGTGGCGAACCTGGTTGAGTTGAATCAGAGGCAGTAGGGAAACCACAAATGTATAGCACCCTGTGAGAAACATATTCATTGTAAATGATGTTTTAAATGAGTATATGGTGGGTGAACAAAGTCCCCTTTTCAAATGAAAGTAAATTTTTCATTACATTAGGAAATCAAGATCCCATGAAGGATGTGTTGAATGGCAGAGAATTCGAGCTGTTTGAAATCCAGTGTAAAGTCTTCAATTGGCGATGATTTGAGGTGTCATGTCTTTTTCCAGCATCTATTCACTCTTTCATCAAGTCTAAGCTTGATGCACCTCTCTACCAGGAGATTTTAGAGCACTTCATGCTTGCATTTACTGACAGACTTTATAGATATATGTCTATATCCCTGAGATGAGGTAATATGATTATTTACATTATTCAGACTGTTATCCTCATCTTCATTGCCATACTCACAATGTTTTGGCCATTATATGCTCTGGCCTTCTTTAGGTGATTGGAATTTTGAACTGAACCCTGAAGTCCGAATAATGTGAATAGACTTTATAGAGATACTGATTTCCTTTTGCAGCAAGACCTGGCAGGTGGCCACTGCCAAATCTATTAGTAACTATCTGAACATGTTATTCCTGTGCTTGAGTGACTAACCAACTTGCCTGACTCAAACTTCATAGTAAAGTATTTTGGAATATGAGGAAGAAGTAATAATGATCCTGATCAGGTGTTGTGGCAAAAAGATTTACTTTTTTTTTTTTTTTTTTTTTTTTTTAATCATAATAAAGCCATTAATGTACGCCTGATTTAAAATTTAGCCCATTCTGAGTATATATTATTTCTGTTTTAATTCATAATGCTACTAATACTGTGATTATAGATGATGTTGTATATGAGCCTAGTCTAAGGTTAGTCATCAAGAATTGTGAGATCTGTGGATAGGAAGCAGCACTCAAATGTTAGTGCCCCTCCAAGCCATTAATCCCATTCCTGCAAATCTTGCCACTCCCTCGCAATCCTACAACAAATGTGGGACCCCCCCTCCCTCTCCTGAATCCACATTCACAAGACAAACATAATGACGATATATAAAATGTCAGTATCATCAATGGATTATATGCTTTGCTATTTGGATCAGCATGCCTATCTAGGTTGTTATGCTCGACAACGTTTCAGCTGTTGTACATTCTGGCCTTCTTCAGGTGTCCATCTTTATACTTGGTAATCGCCTTGGGATTTTTAACTGAACCTGTTATTCTATCTGTGGGCATCATTTCACTTTCCGTGCATAGCGGATATATCAGTTAATAATCACTTATCTTATTCACCTTTGTGTCATTTGTCCGTCTCTTCCACTTGACCAGAGTATATGACTTTTCCACACTACCAGATCCAGGGATTGAACTCGCAAATACTAGGGAGCTAGATATGTTTTAACCAATGTCCATAATTCACTAAACAACCTTAGATTGAACTGAATAGTAAAATCGTATAATAATTGCTCCTCTTGAAAAATTTTTTTTTTTTTCAGATTTTTATTATATAATTTGTTTGCTATGTTTTTATATTGTATCTTTTTTTTTTTATAATTAATCACATTTAATGTAATTTCTTTTTCTTTTATTGAAAACTTCAGTTTCTTTCAGTATCTGTCTATATTTCTGAGATGAGGTATTATTTACATTATTCAAACTATTGTCCTTATCTTTGTTGCCATATTCATCACAACATTTCGGCCAGTATACACTCCCAGCCCTCTTCGTGTGGTTGGAATGTCAAACTGAACCCTTTATTTCACTCGCTGTGGTAGACTGATCTAGTTCCAAGTGCCATGTCTAATGGATGTCAGTTATCAGTTATCTCCTGTTAATTCCCCTTTCCAAGTTCTCTATTCCTTAACCAGGTATTGAACTCACACTCTTTGGATCCTATCACTGGATCTAACCAATGCTTTTATCCACTGTGCCATGTGTCCTTGAGGACATCTGTGTATGAATAATATAAGTCCCAGAAATTCATATGAATTTCATATGAAATTCAGCGAATGAAATAAAGGGTTCAGTTTGACATTCTAACTACCTGAAGAAGGCCGGAGCATACATTGGTCGAAATGTTGTGATAAATATGACAACAAAGATGAGGACAATAATCCAAATAATGTAAATAGTGTTCAGTTTCTTTTCTTTCCTTTTTTTCTATATAATATAAGCAGTTGCACACCTTCTATATTAAATGTAATAATATTCTATATAATGATGATTCTCTCTAGTTTAATGTCTCAATAATAAACCTAGGAGGAAAATTAATGATAGATACCATTAAAAGAAGTAAAAAAAAAAAAAATGAAGTTTGAATGAAAGTAATAAATGATTTAATTAACATTTTTTTTTTTTTTTTTTTTTTTTTTTCCTGTTTGTCAGAAGCTGATTTAATCAATGACTTCTGTTTGCTTTACATTTTAATAAATTGAAAATATTGACAATAATTGTCATCTGAGAATGGTGGTTTTCCTGTTAAAATTATTTGCAGGAAATATTTTTTCAATGCTATAATCTAACATTGAAACTTGAGATCTTTACATTTTCAATCTAACATACGTTTTTTTTTCTCTTCTTTTTCTTTTCTCTCTTCTTTTTCTTTTCTCTGTTTCTTTTTTTTCTCTCTGTTTCTTTTTTTCTTTGTTTCTTTTTTTCTCTCTCTTTCTTTTTTCTCATTATGGTGGTAAGCATGTTCATTATTCCTTTATATCATTGAAAGTAGGCCAATCAATTTAAATATCTTTAGCATAAAAAGGAGTTGATTGGGAGGACTGAAAACATGAGCTTTAGATATAAAGTCTATCACTTCCTTAATTAAGCCATTTTGATAAAGCAACAGTTTATAATATGTCTTTATCATAAAATTACAACAGAAGATTTTATAATGTTGATTGTTGATGATTTCAGTTTCATTTATTAATTAATAAAATTTCAATTTCAACTTCAAAATCAGAATTGATTCAATTTATGCATGATTTTTCTTTGTTCTGTATCCCTTCATGATATGGTTGATCATGGCTCTCCACAACATCTTATCTTTTGTAGCTTTTAGTAAGATTGTCTTTTCACCATCCTTCCCAGTTTCTGTTCTATCATCCATTTAAACAGGTTACATGTTGCTTTGCTCTTGCCTTCAATATGTCCTATAAGTGTCAAATTCTCCAAGCCCTCTTTTCTCCTTATGTGTCATAGAAATTTCATCTGTTCCTTTTTGATTCCATTTTCCTTAAAATTTCCTCATTACTCATATGTTCAGTCTCTGGTATTCTCTACATCCTTCATTTGAATCGTATATCTGTTACCTCCACTCTCTTCTTCATTTGTGAGAATATTGTCCAATTACATTAAAATTTAACACTCTTTTCTAACAAAATTTTCATGTTTCTTAATACTTTGCTTAGTTTTGGGAAGGCATTTTTATCTATTCCAATGCACCTTCATATTTCGGTGTTACATTTTCTGTCATCTGTTTAAAAAAACTTCCTAGATATTTAAATTTTCATACTTGCTTGATTTTTTGCATCTTGTGTCTTTTGGCTATTCCTCTTGTTGCCATAACCACAGTTGACTACAGTCTATATTATTTTAGGTGACTAGTTATGTAAATAAAACATAGATAAATTACAATATCTTTCTTATTATATTGATATATTATGTTAAATAGAACCTGGTTGCTAAAAGAGAAGTTGTACCTAGTTGCTATTTCAGGCACAATACACATGTAATGGGTTTGTGTCAGACAGCTTCAGATAACTATAATATAACTTTTGCACCATTTCTATTTCTAAATGTTTATACAGTAGTGTAAATACCATTTAGATAATAGACTACCTTAAGTAATTAACATTGATAGATGCATAGACAGGTTGCATAATTTTTTAATAAATAACTAAAGATTTTGACTAGTACTTAAATTGCTTAATTTTTGCTACAAGAGTTAGTACTAAAGTTGCTTAATTTTTTTATGCTTGGATCTAATAAAAAAAAAAGGTTTCAATATAAAGTAGTAAAATTGGTAGAAGTCTTGAATACTATATAAAATAATGTTTCATTAACTATTTTTATTTAATTTTATTTTTTGAGTTTCTTAAGCCATGCTGCTATCAGAAGTAGAGTTAGTTAAATCTCGGTGTAGTTGCTGACAAATGAGTTGTTTATTTAAAAAAAAAAAATCAGATGAGGCTGTTCACATTAGTAACATTTTTTTTTTATTGGATGAAGCATTGTCAACCATTATTATGAATTTTGAACCAGGTTTCCGTATAGCAAAAGGAATGTGTTTTTGAATAGCCATAATAGAAAAGGTAATGGAGGAAATCATACCAGTATCTTTCCCAAGACCTTTGTATTTGTTGGTTTGAGTTTTGCTAGGAATGATGGCAAGACACTTGGCATTTCTTGGTTTCATCTGACTCAGTCCCAGTCTGTCTTGTCTTGAAGTTTACCTTCATTTGTCTGAATTTGTATTTGTGTGTCAACCCCAATTTGCACTTGACCATGGCTACACACTCCACAGTAATTCACAGGTCATTATTAATATTTGTTCCATATAATACTGCTGTTACTAATATACCACCACAATAGATTAAAAACAAGTATGGTGCTTGTAAAATATCTAGATTCATAAATTTAGTCTTCTGTAAAGATTAGGTAAAGCCTTGTCAACCATTTATGAATTTTCAACTGGGCTTCCCTGCAGCAACAGCGATGTATGTTTGATAGTGTGACTGTCTCCTTTATTTCCATTCTGTGCTTTCTACTCCTAAATAAAGTTGCAGTGTGTGTAGCATAATGATTATCAGTTCAGAAACCGAAATTTCCAAGCAAGCCAAGTTCAAATCAAGTCTAGTCTGTTGCATTCACTTTCACACAAATACCCTTGGGAAAGACATAAATCCATCTCTTCTCCTCCCCACCAGATATGGGTTAAACAGTAGAGTAGGATCTCTAGGTTGAGTGACAGCCTGTTTAGGAGAAGGACAATTCTGAATTAAAACCGTGGAGAAAGCAATGGGGGGGGACTATTTTACTATCTTTCCTAAAACACATGGCAATTCATAGATAATAAAGAAAACAAAACTATGAAGAGTCATGATTGACTAGATCCTGAATGGACGTGGTATTATAAAAAGAAATATGAAAAAACAAACCCAAAAACCTGCATGTTCCAATTAAAAATAACTAAAAAAATAATCATAAAAGTTAAGCTTTTCTTTATTTATTTCTTTTTTCTTTTTTTTTAATTTTATTTCAGTTCACCCAATATAAGGCCCAAAGGCCACTCATGGTCAAGGTTTACTTAGTGAGATTGCTATTAGAGAGGAGGAAGCAAGAAGCACACTATAAGGATATATGGGATAGATATTGGTTGACCCTGAAGCTAAGATTGTAGTGGTCTATTGGGTGTCTGTTTCACAAAGTAACTGTTCTGGAGAAGAAGCTGTCAGAGTGGAACTTACTGCTTACCAAAGGAATATGAAGGGAATGGAGATGATTTTTCCCATCTTAAAAATGGCATGTCATATCCGAACTGTGAAGGACTATCAAATGTAACTTGTCCTGATATCATATGTAGGCAGCAACCTTTCTTTCAAACATATTTGATTGAATATCACAGACAAGGAAAATTTGCTCAATTTTTTTGTATACACACACACACACACACACACACACACACACACAGTGGGGGAACAAATATTTATACACATACAAATATTTAATTTATTGTATTTCCAACTAATGAATAAATATATCTTTCATATAATTAACTATACACATATGCATAATATCATCTAAATATGCATAGAAAACATTAAAAAATTTCTATTTGTTATTATGCATCTGTGTACAGGTAATTATATAAAAAGTATGTTTATTCATTAGTTGGAAATATAAATGAAAAATTTGAATGTGTACAAATATGTTTACCTCTACTCTGTGTGTGTGTGTGTATATATATATATATATATATATATATATATATATAATGAAATGTTTGATAATCCATATGGATAATCTCAAGGAGAATGTAATCCAGAGTTCAATTTAAAATAGAGCAAATATTAGTTAAATTAAAAAACGGACAACTTTAAGGGTCCATAGATTATATTTTCTTG